AGCAGGAAGAGCAAGTGTGAAAGGAGAAATGGCAGCTTCTCTCTCCCGCCCCATGTTCAGCCTCCACAGCTGGGGAGGCACCAGTGCTGTGGGGAATACAAGCGGCTGCAGGGATGAGCTCAGACACAACCCTGACTTGAGTCTGCCAAGGGCGTGATAGCATCACTGAAGTCACCAGAGCACCTATGAGTAGGGTTGCAGGAGGGTACTGAGGAGAAACACTTTTTTGGCAAAGGATGCTACTAGTGAATTTCATGCCAGCATTTTAGCTAACAGTGGTGAAGCATTTACACCTACACGGGGATGTGCCAAAAAAGTGAGCAACAAAACACTAGCAGTGCTCAGCCTACAGCTGAAGTGATGCTATTTTCCCCCTGGAAACAAGAAATTATTGAAAAACACTCTGAGTACAATACAGCATAGTAATTTGTCCCCATGGCCCCATCTCTCAGGACCATCATCTCAAGGGCTGGGTACAATGTGGAGGTCAACTGAGTTCCTGGGAACAAAACCCTCTTGGATGTCCCTTTCCAGGGCAGATTCTTTGTTGACTGCAGCCAGGCTGCCTGCGCTCGTGGTCGTTCAGAGGAGAAGCACACCAGAAGCCAGACAGAGTGAGTCATCATTCAGTCAGTGAGTTCAACCAGGAGAAGGAGAAGATATGACGAGCCGGCTCGTCACCCCTCTCATTGCTCAAGGGAGTTTCCTCCACTCGTCCTTGAGGGGACGGTTCAGAACCAGTCTGTAAAGGAAGGAAAGGTTGACAAATGGAAAAGGAAGAGATGAATTGCATTAGAATCCTTAAGATTTCACAACATGCAGAAAACCAGAATGAAGTGGGAAAGAGGAAGAAAGGCAGGAAGCAGGAAAATTTGGGGAGGCGAGCAAGACCTCTAATGCCAGAGAAGTCAGAAGGACTTTTGCCACGGACAGTAGATGACGGAGAATTACACTGGGTGAGCCATTTCGCAGCTGTACAAAGGGCTTAATCCTGATTTGGACTTCCGGAACATTATTGCACTGAAGGTGATAACTGCCTGCTTAGAAGCAATCCAGAGCCAGCTTGGCTTGCATAGCTGGGCCTCCAGATTGATGTGGACCAAAGCCAAAAGTTATTGTCAGTGCATTGCCACTCAAAATGATCCTTGTTCTGCTGTCATGAAATCTGCCTTGAATGTGATGCGTTTTATCTTATTTTTTTTCCTTTAAAGTCTTTTAATATTTATTTCACTTCAATTTCACTCAGCCCAAGAACAGAAAATAAATAATACAGAAATATAAGCTTCTGCTTATATCCCAGGCCAGTTCTGGTTTTGTCTGCACAGGTATCCTGTGCTTATAGTAAAAAAGGGAATCTGGACATGATATGCTGCAACTGCTAATCACAGGAATCATTAATATTTTAAAAATTAGCTGAATAGTTAACAGACCAATATAATATGCAGACATATTTTAATAGTGCCAGTGTTTTCAGATCCCTTTGGCAGAGAATGAAGACTCGTTTCTGATAGTATCTGAAATTCTATTAAAGATAAAATATATAAAAATGGGTGATATGGTAGCTAAAAAATACCTTGTGTCTTCATCATTAAAACCACTATTTAACTTACAACATACAGGATTTTTTCCCCTTCTTTATATTCCTAGACATGCACATAAATTATTTTACATTCTTAGTATTAAAATTGCCACACTGCCAGCCTTCTCTCTGCAGGATTTCACTTTCATTTGGGAACTTTATCATGATCTTAGGAGAACTGTTTGATGTCAAGATACCACTTGACAGAGGGAAAATGAGAGTGAATTTTAACATGTCTCAATCATTTATAATATTGTCCTAAATGGAGGTTACCAAATCAGTGAGTGCTAACAGAGATACCCAGGAAAAAACAATGAAGCGGGGATGCTTGTGAGGAACTGAAGCATGGAATGGATGACTTTCTCAAGCATTTCCGCAAGTGCTTAATGTTAGAGTGTACCACAGGAATTAGTAAGAGCTAATGGTATGTTAAGTATAAATTTGCTACTGGGCTTCATTCCAGTTACTACCTATTCAAGTGTTGTGACACCAACAAACAAGATAGCATGGAAGTATGAAAAAAATAGCTCCCTATTTCTTTATTTATATGTAATTAGAGTTCACAGCTCCTTTTTAAGATGCAGATCCTCAGTTGTTTTAGACTGGAATAGCCCTACTTGTTCCAATGAAATGCTATCTAAGAAAATGTCTGAAATATGGACTAATCTTTTACTCAGATTCATATTTTCAAAGCAAGGTGCTCACTATTATTTGCTGCAAAATACATGGCTCAGAAAGGATTTTTATGGACAAGGATCTTGAAGAATACAGCTTTTGCTTGCTGACTTTATAATGCATTTAATAAGAGTACAAGCATGATGAAAAACCTGGGAGAAACAGCTGCCTACTTGAATACCAAAGTCCATTTTCAGCAATACTGGTAGAGAAGGGTCATCTCCCAAGCTTATGCAAAACCTTTGGGCCTGTGGGGATAGATCTTCAGCTGAAAAGGCAGGTAGTTAATTGAGTCCTGATTATAGAACATCTGCCTCTCAGCCCTGGAAAGTGCTGAATGCAAACGTCTCAACCTGATTATAAAATTCAGGTATCGGCAGTAAATACATGGCTAGACTTTCTGAGTTGTAAGGGATTCCATGCTCTTTAGATCTTTGTAGATGCAGGAGTGCAAGTGTTCTATTAGACCTCTGTTGAAAAATTTGCCTTTTTCTTTTTTTTTTTTTTTTTTGAAGGACATCTGGAGTGCCTGAACTAGCTAAGAATTCTTTTGAAATTGGTTGTGCAATTTTGAGCACCGAGCCTTCACTAGTATGTATAAGGAGGCAATGGACGGCCTCCTCACTTCTCACTCTGCAAAGGAACAGGACTGGCAGGAGGTTTAATAAAGAATTTCCTGTATATTTATTATTCTTTTACTTAAAACCACAGTGGTACCTTGTAATTTCTCTACTTGTGCAAGGTGGGCTTCCTTTAGCACTTCCACTTCCTGTTCCAATCAGTTACTATCCAGAAGTACACATTAAACTAAGGTTAACTCTGATGCAAAGAACTATATATGGACTTAAAGTAAAGTAGCTTGTTTCATAGAATTTGGACCTAACCTAATAATAAGAAAAAAATTACACTGTAATGACTTAGACTGGCTAGATGACTGCATTACCTTGTTAACCAACTCTGCTGGTACTGCATTTCAAACAAACAATCTTGGCCTGCATCACTGCCGAATTTGCATTTCATAATATAACTCCTTCATATTCTGCTGTGATGACATCTTCCTGTGTCAGCAAAACAATGTCAGAGCTCCAACATATTCCCACTGGGTTTGGCTGGATGAAGCATTTACTCCCTGCACCTCGCTGGACAGCAGGCCGCCAGTCTGCAATACTTCGATGTATCTTTCCAAGAGCAATCATTTGCCATCACGCCCAGACAGCTTTTAGACTTGCATTTTCACACCTGTGACAGTTTAGTATTTGTGCTCTGAGTCATACAGTGGCTGAGGTATGCTATCCTCATGTGAGGCAAGAGAGTATCAAAAGGTGCCAGGAGCAACTCTGTCCACATTATTAAGTCAGTTCCTCCCTTCCAGCTGCAGCCCACACAACTCAGAGTTATACCTTCTGCTGAGATCGTGTGACACAGATTTCAGCTGTGGACTTCTGCAGAAAACAACTTCTTTGAACTAGGAGGTGATTCTGAAAGGTAGAAAGCAGAAGCAGGGCTGTCAGTTGAGCAATTGCCAATTGAGATGCAGTGGCAATAGGATTAGGGCATCCAACCACTCTGCAGGCCCTTGCAATCTCATCTCAGATCACCTCACTCTCCCTATTACTGCAGCCCTGCTCTGCTGCCAGAGAAAAGCTTTCTGCTGAGCATGGCACAGCCATTGCCACATGCCTTTCAGATGGTTCAGATTCAACACTTCATTGTGTCTGTCCATTGCTATTAGGTAACTGTTGTCAAGCTTCTACTCAAACTTTATCTTAGTCTTGGAGATCTCATGGGTAGGGCTGTTTTTCACATTACCTGGAATAACAAGTCCCAACCCTTGATTTGGGTCCCTAACAGTAATAAGGAATAACTAAAGTGTTTACCTCAGATTACATTAATCACATTAGGCCAATGCTGAGAGAGTGCTGAATACTTACACTTTGATTTATATTTTCCCCTGTGGTGCTGAGTGACATCAGATGATGCTCTCAATAAGCACCAGGAATTTTCACCAGGCTAGCTCATGAAGCAGGGAGGGAAGCACACCCTGCATGACTGATGGCTGTGTTTGTTTTTCCCATAAGCAAAGTCCAGGTTGAAGTTCACAAGCCAAATTTCTGGAGGTGCTGAGCAACCACAGCTCCCACTAAGCAGCTATTCAGCACTGCTCAGCATCTGGCACACTAAAATTTGCACGTATAAGGATCTCAGAGTTTAACCTGGCGAGTTGTACCAGAGTTGCAGGTATACAGCATCTTTCAGCATTTGCTTCCTTAAGCAGAGCACTACCTAAACCTGTACACAGTTCTTGTAAAGGGTGTGGAGTGGGGGAAAGGAGGGAGTAGGATGGCTTTGTCATAGTGTTTTCATTTATCAGGGTCTAGCAGTTATCCCATTTATGCTGGGGAAAAATAAGCAGTCTAAATCTTCCAGATACTTGAAACAAAATGAAATCTATCCATTGTTTTCTGCTTTACTGCCATTAAGCTCCATAGCCTTTAGATACAAAGCCTGGGATCCATATTACCAAACTTGAGTCATCCAGAAATCAGATATCAGCTCAAGCAAGCTGTATTCATGCTCTCTAATGGGAGTGATGAGAGAAAGCACAACCAGAGTGATTTGTACCATGCTTAGAAGTGTCTATAGGGTGGGTTGCCCTCTGGAGGTGCCCTTTTCTTTCTATTGACTCTAGAGACACTCCTGGTGACTGGGTTAGACTAGATCTGGCTTTTAAGTAATTACACAAGAAAGGTTTCAGTCAAATACTTCAGGATATCTGAAAACTGCTTGACAGGAATTGAGAACTTTGACTGCACTATCACTTTTACAAGGTCAGTAACTTAAATTTAGGAAGTGGGGAGGAAAGGTGAAGGGTCTTCATAGTCTTCTTTGGTTTTTGCTTTGGCAATTTTTGATTATTCTTTATGACTTCTGATAAAGCGGGATCTCTGTCACTCTCAGAGGTTATATCACACCAGCTTGCAGAGAGATGAGAGAAGTAAAAGAAACAGAGGCTGAAATGGTTGTTTCCTCCAGGGCTATAGATCACCCAGCAGTGTATTTTATCTGGATTGAGCATAATTACATGATCACAATTTTTTGCAATTAATCAGAAAACAAAAATGGTTGCTGGTTTTATGCTGTCCACAGGAGACTAGATTATGCCTTTGCTGGCAAAGAAAAAATTATCTCACAATTTTTTAAACAAATATGGTTCTACCTAGTGGATTTGTAGTAGTTGAACACTTTGTGTCACCTGACCTATTCCTGAATTCTCCAAACCATCTTGTAGTGTCATGGTCTCAGTTCTGAGCAAATTGATGGGAAAGCTTTAGTGAAAAAAGTGAGAAAAGAATGCAGGGGGCTTATTAGAAGTCAGTATGCCCTAGGATATGGGATTGTTTCTTACAACTATGCAGATGAATGGGATGGTTGTTTACAACCTATATGAATATTTTCTGGGTCAACAACGGTAACCAAAACAGGTCCTG